CAGTGGTGAGGGTAGCTGCTGCGGCTAAGGCACGAAGACAAGGCTGCCATCCCCTTTCAGTGGGGTCTAATTGTTTGGACAGGTAGGCCAGAGATAGGAGGGTGCCCCCTAGTGGTTGTGCTAGGACCCCTACTGCCGTATGGGATTTTTCATCTGTGTACAGATGAAAGGGCAGGTTGGAATTACCAGGAAGGCGTGAGTAAACGGGACAGAGGCATAAGAGCATGTGAGTGGCGGAGTTTGGCTAGGGACTTGGGGGGTTCCGTCAACTCCCACAACCGAGACCTGGGAAGGGATAATAGGGCCCGAAAAAGAAGGGAGGACAGAAAAGGTAGCCCCCTTGTACAGCAAGGAGACACTTTTACCCGCTACCTTGAGCGTAACCCTGGGCTCGGCAAGGGTAACCGGAGTTGGGGAGCCAGGGCCCCACTAATCGTCCAACAGCCCCAGCAGTTCTGGGAACGGAGAATTCTGGGTGTCTGGTTCCTGGACAGCACGACCAGGTTCCAGGCTTCCAGTGACAACCCCTTGTTGTCCAGTGTGCCGGCCTGGAAGGGCCGGGACCCTGGGTAAACTGGGGCAGTCCGACTTCCAGTGCCCCATGAGCTGGCAAACGGGACATGGCTTGGTGGGTGGACGAGGCTGGGGACAGGTTGAGGACCAGTGCCCCTCTTTTCCACATTTAAAGCACGCCCCAGGAGGAGGGCGAGAACTGCCTTTTGGCTTTTGGGTTCCTGCCGGCCTCAGAGCGGCAGCTAGCAAAGTGACCTTTTGCTTCATTCGGGCTTGGCGGGCTGCCTCAGCTGTGTCCTCCCTGGCGTTAAAAACTTTAAAGGCCACTTTCACCAGGTCTTGTATGGGGGTTTCCGGACCCTCCTCTACCTTCTTTAGTTTTTTCCTGATATCAGGGGCAGAGTGGGAAATGAAATGGGAGGCTAGGACAGTGGCCCCATTCTGGGACGCAGGGTCTAGTCGAGTATAGCGAACTAGCGCTTCTTGCAAGCGACCAAGGAAAAGGGCGGGGTTTTCGTCTGCCCTTTGAGTGATCTCCCTGAGTTTGTCATAATTGACGACTTTGTTAGAGACTATATCCATACCTCTAAGAAGGTACTGGATCATGCGGTCCCGTTGGGGTGCGTCGGACCCGTGGCCAGTTTGGTAGTTCCACTGGGGGTCCACGTTGGGAATAATTTCCGTACCCACAGGGATTTGATTGGGATTTATGGCATGGTCCCTGTCTGCTTGGTGCCTGGCTGCCGTGAGGATGCGCTCGTGTTCCTCGGCAGTGAGGGTGGAAGTGCAGATGACACGTATATCGTGCCAATTAAGGCTGTAAGCCTGGGTGAGGTACTGGAACTCTTTAAGTAGAGGGGTCAGCTGAAAAAGAGCCGAGCCTGCGCTCGATTTGTGACAGATCCTGGAGGGAGAAGGGGACATGCACTCTAACCAAACCTTCCGCCCCAGCCACCTCGCGGAGCGGTGCCAGGAGGGTGGGCTGGTGTGAGCGGGTATGGGCTGCCACTGGGGAAGTAAGAGGAGGTGGGGCCTCTAAGGCGGGAGGCGCAGAAGGAGCGGCCACTGGGGAAACAAAGGGAGGTGGAGTCTCCAAGGTGGGAAGCGCGGAGGGAGTGGCCACCGGAGAAGCAAGAGGAGGTGGGGCCTCTGAGGCAGGAAGCGCGGAGGGAGTGGGGGAAGGGCTAACGGCTGGCGGTAACTGGTTGCTAGGGTTGGCGGGAGGAGACAGATGTTCAGGCAGATCCTCCTGCATTGAGTAAGGCGGGGGAGAAGTAATAGAGATAGCGGAGGAGGTTTTGCGAGGGACCTGGGCTAAAAGAACCTGATGTGTAGAGCAAGTGGAATAAAGGTCCGGGTGGGTACGGAGATCCCAAAAAGCTTGTACATAAGGCACCTCGCGGTCTTTGCCTGTACGGCGGCAGAAATTATCAAGGTCGCGAAGGACGTTGGAATCGAAAGTGCCAGTCGGGGGCCAATGTGACTGGTTATCGAGCTGATACTGGGGCCATGCCACTTGAGACAAGAAAATGAGTTTTTTGCGTCTCAGAGTTTGCGAGTATCCCAATTCGGAGAAATTCCGCAATAAACACCCAAGAGGGGAGTTAGGGGGTATTTTAGACTCCGCGTTCCCCATGGCGTGCGCAGCAGTAATTTCCCTGCCAACGGCTGGGTAGATGCAGGAAGAGGCGTCCCCCTTATGCTGCAAGTACCCAGAGATTTGGAGGAGGGAAGAGTCAGAGAGGGCGTCCCCTGTCTGGCGGTTCCCAAAAGGCTCCTGGAGCCTGGTTGGAGGACCTTGCTCGGGCCGGCTGGCGCTTGGCGAGTGGTCCGTGGACTTGGAGTTGGGAGGGACCACAGTGCACACCACGGGGAAGGAAAGGTAAGGTAAAAAAAGAACGGACTTACCTTAATCGGAGTGCAGAGAAGCCGGATTCAGAGAGGTCGCCAAGGGGAGGGGGCTGCGGCTGGGCCGGCAGCCCAAACCTCCCGGGTTTCGGCACCACTTGTGCGACCCCTGGTTGTGGGACCCCAACCCACGGAGGCAGGCACCCAGTAGACACGAGGCAGGACGCATGGTGGCCAGTACCGACTTTATTGGGATCTCCGGGCGACTCAAGCGGGAAGGGAAGAATCGCGCTCGCTTTCTTTGTTTGGTTGACTTTATAGGGACAGAGGGCCTGGGGCGGTAGGAGAGCTGACCTGGCAGGTAGTAATTGGCTAGGTTGATTGCTGGGCAGGAAGCCTGCCGGGCGGGAGCTTGTGGGACGGGAGGTTACGGGAGAGCTGGTGGGGCGGATGGTGATTGGTTCAGTGGGCCGCTGGGCGGGAAGGTTGCTGGTCTTGGGTCCGGCCAGGATAGAGTGAGATAAGGGACCCTCCCTGTGGGGGAGGAAGGGCCTTCCTTTTCGGGAATTAGGCCCTTTCCACATGGCTGGGGAACGGGGCCAAAAGTCCTCTACCAGACAGTTACGGCCCAGGAGTGAGGCTTTATGTTTTGTATAAACGGCCAAGATCCCCTAACATAGAGAAGCTCTGCCTTTATATAGGCTTACACTCTAGATAGTCCCAGAGAAAGAATCTTAGGTTTACAGCCTTAGAAATTACAAGTGAAAGGGTCTTGGGTTTGCAGTTTTAGAAGTTACATATGAAAGAGTCTTGGGTTTACAGTTTTAGGAATTACATGTGAAAGGGTTCTGGTCTCCGGATGGAGGAGTAGGGTGGGGGTTTAATCTTGTTTAAAAACAGTGTCTTCCAGAGAGATTCCCCCATACCAAGCCTATCTTATAGGAAGGTGATTTAGGAGGCACCGGTCGCCCAGCCTTTTCTTCTGTTGAAATGCAGTGTGGAGGTCAAGGGGGAGGTGATCCTAGATGCCTGGGTCTCTTTCCTCAGCATCTTTGGGGACAACCAAGGGATCTTCATATCACCACCAAGATGAACAACTAAATGGAACCTGGATAATATAAGTACTAAGGCAAGGCTGTGCCCAGTGGCTCATGCCTGTAATCCCAACAGTTTGGGAGGTTGAGGTGGGTGGATCAAGAGGTCACGAGATCGAGGCCATCCTAGCTAGCATGAAGAAACCCCGTCTCTATAAAAATACAAAAAATTAGCTGGGCGTGGTGGCGCATGCCTGTAGTCCCAGTTACTAGGGTGGCTGAGGTAGGAGAATCGCTTGAACCCGGGAGGCAGAGGTTGCAGTGAGCTGAGATCACACCACTGTACTCCAGCCTAGGCAACAGAGTGAGACACCTCTCAAAAAAAAAGCGAACAAGAAAAAACAAGTACTAAGGCAAAAACAGGATAGATGAACAGCCAGGACTGGCTCAGAACAAGTCGGTCGAATGCAGAACTGAAGACCAAGAGAAAAGGTTCTGTGTGAAAGAACGGATCAGGGGGCTCTTTGCTTCTAGTAAACAAAGGCCCTGAGCTTTTACAGCCCTTCTTATTTATTAAGTAACGTGAATAGGGAGGAGGGGGTGATGTCGGTCAGCTACTTGATTTATCACAGGGACTGCTTCCCTTGTTCAGTAGGTTCTAGATATTCAGGTAGATAACCTCCAGGAGCACAGGACCTGCCCTCAACACTCCTGGCAGCAGACACAGTTTGTCAGTTTGCTGACATTCTGCTTTCATGAGGATAGTTTGCTGTTTACTCATAAAGCCTCCATGGGTGTTTTGAGTTGGTCACACCCCACATTCTTGGAGTCACCAGCATCTTCCCCTTTTAGTTTTTACATTAATTAAATGAAGGCAATTCCAGGCTGGACAGCTTTCAATTGCCAGTTGTTGGTCCACACCATCCTACAGACTACGAACTGAAAACGGAAAATAATAGCATTATTCCTATAATGATAAAAGAAACATTGAGATTACATTTAAGATAGGTCCAAGGATTAAGGCTCACCAAGCCCGGCTGGAATTCTGTCCAAGCTTTATTTATTTATTTATTTATTTATTTAGGAGACGAAGTTTTGCTCTTGTTACCCAGGCTGGAGTGCAGTGGCACGATCTCGGCTCACTGCAACCTCCGCCTCCTGGGTTCAAGCAATTCTTCTGCCTCGGCCTCCCAAGTAGCTGGGACTGCAGGCGTGCCACCACCATGCCCAGTTAATTTTTGTATTTTTAGTAGAGACGGGGTTTCACCATGTTGACCAGGATGGTCTCGATCTCTTGACCTCGTGATCTACTTGCCTCAGCCTCCCAAAGTGCTGGGATTATAGGCGTGAGCCACCGCACCCGGCCTAATTTATTTTTTTTTAATGGGGTAGGGCAGATCGAGGCTCCCAGGCATTCCGCAAAGTAGGCAGGTCACCTCAGCGGCATCCTTTACCCGCTCAAAATTTCGTCTCACATTAGCAGTGAGGATTCCGGTATCACCCCAAATTGTTATTTTCCTTACTCATAAGTTTAAGGCGTGTCCAAGCTTTTAAAGAAGGCTGATAGTCTCCAGTCTGTTTATTCAAGTCAAGAACTGTTTTTTATAAATCACTGATATCAAAGTAACATTGGATGTAAAAGCTTCTGAGGTTCCATGGATATTCACTTTAATTGTATTCCAAATTGGTTACACAAATGTGAGTATGGTAAAAATGACCGTGCAATTGCTGCTGCAATTGCAAACTTTGTACTTGTTCTCTCAGCCACAAAACAGTAGACTTTAGCATTGCTACTTCTGTTTGTAATTCCACATCAATTTTATCTTGGAGCATCCATGTCTGATCAGCTGTACGTGTCCAACTTTCTACATATTGGGCTGTTTGAATCAAACTAGTGCTACTGAGGACACCACAACAGAAGTTATCAGTGTGACCAAGGAGACTGTAGCAAAAATGATCATGCCTAAGGCTCTACGAGCGTGACAAGTGAGCTGGTAAGAAGGTTCACGAAATGTAAAGCGAGCGTAGCAGCCCATGGGTCAGACAAATTGACAGGAATCCATAATCCAGGAATATGACGAAGAATTATTAGGGTGGATATGTTCTGTTTTCATATAGTGCTATGATTAAGGCAATAATAAAATTGACAAGAGACAGAAGTCAGTTGGGTGACATTTACCTGGAGTTGACCTTTTTTAAAGCCACTAGAAAAACATAAGGATTGAAGACACAGACTGTAAATTGAGTGGTAATGTTTCTAACGAAGGTGATATTAAAGTACGTTGAACAGAATTACTATTATTGAATAGTGTTCTGACCCAGATGCTCCGTTTCATAAATGAGAGTTTAGTTGTTCTGTGTCCGGGGCAGTCATGGCTCCTGGAGCCTATGCTTCCTGATCGTGATACATTTCAGGTGGAGGGTTGGGAACAGAACATACGTCCAATATGTTTTTGCCTCTACATAGGGGAAACATACCACATAGGACACCACGGCGAACATGGAGTCAGGGTTTTTGCCTGACCCTGGTGCTCCATCAGTTTCTCAGCCTCCTATATGATTTTCATGATCTGTCCCCATGTTATGGGTTTGGTTGTGATTGTGACTGTGGTTGGCCCTTGTTCCATCTTCGAATTCAGATCCAGTTGGCTCATGGTTCATACTGGAGGGACTGGGCCCACAGTTGGCCACCATGGATCCCTCCAGTGTCCTGTTCCATGGTCAAACATACTTGGAGGGCACCCACACGGTTTGTCCATCTCCAAAAATACAAGCATACCCCCTTCCCCACGTCAGCAAATCCTCCGGGCCTTTGCATTGTCCTTTTTCGGGGATTTCCGTAACGCTTTCGGATAAACTTGCCTCTTTTCCTCTAACACTTGCCAGTGTCTTTCTCCTGGAGTCTTACCACCTGTGAAGTAAACAAGGCTAAATGTAATTTTGTTTGAGGTGGAAATTCATCTCCTGTTCCCCCTTTTTGTTTCAGTATTCATCTTAGTGTTTGATGTGCCTGCTGAATAATCCCTTGTCTTCGGGATTGTATCGAATTCCTGTTTTGTGTTTGATTGCCCATAATTGTAAAAAGTTTTGGAAAGCATGACTTGACATAAGCGGGTCCAGTGTCAGTTTTGAATTGTTTAGGGACCCCCATATGGGCAATTGATGACAGTGTCATCAGACATGACCAGCTGTTTCTCCTGTTTGACATGTAGCGTGTAACATGAGATAAACATCTACAGTTACGTGACCATAGCTGAGCTTGCCGAGGATGCCTGCTATACGTGTAGCATCCATCTGTCAAACTGCATTTGGAGCTAGGCCTTGTGGGTTACATCCTTCCACGGGTGGAACACCAGGGATATGTTGGCAGGTGGGGCAGGCTTGCACAGTGGCTCAAGCCTGGTTGTGAGATCGATGAAACGTGCAAGTGAGGGCAGAGGTGTTTTGATGTAATAATGCACGGAATCTTACACCTGTTGAAATAAAGAACCAGTTAGCTTGGCCGGGCGCGGTGGCTCACGCTTGTAATCCCAGCACTTTGGGAGGCCGAGGCGGGTGGATCATGATGTCAAGAGATCGAAGCCGGGCGCGGTGGCTCAAGCCTGTAATCCCAGCACTTTGGGAGGCCGAGGCGGGTGGATCACGAGGTCAAGAGATCGAGACCATCCTGG